CGACGGGTCATCTTCTGGATGTCCGACTTCCTTCCGGACAAAGCCATGATTGTGGGGGCTGAAGCAGAGGCAGTTAGGGGCAATCAGGCCAGCAGAGGAGGGCAGTTGGGGGCAAGATCAGGCCAGCAAGGGGTTAGGGGCAATCGGGCTGGCAGGGGAGGGCAGTTGGGGGTGTGATCAGGCCTGCAGGGGAGGGCTGTTGGGGGCAAGATCAGGCCTGCATGGGAGGACAGTTAGGGATGATTAGTCAGGCAGAGGCAATTGGGGGTGAGATCAGGCAGGCAGGGGAGAGCAGTTGGGGGCGAGATCAGGCCAGCAGGGGAGGGCAGTTAGGGGCGATCAGGCAGGCAGGCAGAGGCAGTTAGGGGTGATCAGGCAGGCAGAGGCAGTTAGGGGTGATCAGGCAGGCAGGCAGAGAGGTTAGGGGTGATCAGGTAGGCAGGCAGGTGAGCAGTTAGGAGCCAGCGGTCCCAGATTGTGAGAGGGATGTCCGACTGCCAGTTTAGGCCCGGCCTAAACTGGCAGTCGGACATCCCCCAAGGGGTCCCCGATTAGAGAGGGTGCAGGCTGGGCTGAGGGAACCCCCGCCCTCTATGCACAAATTTCATGCACCAGGCCACTAGTTTTAAATAAATAGGATCATATGATACAAATTATTTTGTACCTCTACTTCTTTTTCTCAATGACACGAGAAAGGGGATGGATATTATCATTATCTTCAATAGTTGTAGAATGTTTCACTGTATAGATGCATCAATTTACTCTGTCTGTCAGTGACATGTAAGTAAAGTAGCTAGTTTCCACATTTTGATGGTATAAACACTCCTCCATGAATTCTGTTGTGCTTGCTTTATTCTGAAGCACTGATCTCCTATGGGTCAATTCCTGTAAGTAAGGTTGTTTACACTTTTATCCAAAATGTTAAACTATTTTCAGGAGAGTTGAATTAATGTCTACTCTTCCACATTGTCCAAGTCTGCTACCCTACACTTCAAAGGATGCTACAGGCGGTCATGAAAGCACGTGTGAATGTGTTCTTATGTGACCGCCCGTGTGGATATGTGAGCTCTCCACATGCCCGAGGGTTTATTCATTTAGCAAATATTTCTGAGCATCTGCCATGAGGCAGGCACTCACCTAGGGCTACAACTGAGAAACACACAAGATCCCAGGTCTCATCGGTTCAAACATACACTAAACACACCTGCCATAAGTGTATGAAGACAAATTATATCAAGACATGACCACCCATAGCTGGCTCTGTCCTGGTCGGGGACGGGGCTCAGGGTGGCCAGGGGATCAGGGAAGGCTTCCTTGGAAAAGAGACGTTGGTGCTGGAACTTGAAGGGTCAGGAGACACTCACTAGAGCAGTGGTTCTCAACCTTCTGGCCCTTTAAATACAGTTCCTCATGTTGTGACCCAACCATAAAATTATTTTCGTTGCTACTTCATAACTGTCATGTTGCTACTATTAGGAATCGTCATGTAAATATCTGATATGCAGGATGGTCTTAGGCGACCCCTGTGAAAGAGTCGTTCGACCGCCAAAGGGGTCGGGACCCACAGGTTGAGAACCGCTGCACTAGAGGAAGAGCAGGAGGAAGCATGCTCAAGGCAGAGAGAATGCTTTGTTCTTGTTCTTGTTCAACCTCCATGGCAGCCCCCTTGCTGGCAGGATCTGCTGCTGTTCCCCAGACACAGGCCTGCTGCCTTTCCCTCCTGAGGCAGGAGGGGCATGGCTTGAAGAATGCAAAGACTGGCCCGGCCAGTGTGGCTCAGTGGTTGAGCCTCCACCTATCCCTGGCCAGGATACATGCCAGGTTGTGGGCTCAATCTCCATTAGGGGGCGAGCAGGGGGCAGCAGTCAATGATTCTCTCTCATCAGAGTATCTAGCTCTCTCTTTCCCTCTTCCCTGCTCACTAAAATCAATAAAAAACATATTTTTTAAAATATATTTTATTGATTTTTTACAGAGAGGAAGGGAAAGGGATAGAGAGTTAGAAACATCGATGAGAGAGAAACATCGATCAGCTGCCTCCTGAACACCCCCCACTGGGGATGTGTCCTCAACCAAGGTACATGCCCTTGACCAGAATCAAACCCAGGACCCCTCAGTCCGCAGGCCGATGCTCTATCCACTGAGCCAAACCGGTTAGGCAATAAAAACATATTTTAAAAATGAATAAAAAGAATGCAAAGACTAGAGATGCCAGAGCCCAAAGAGTGAGGGGGGGGTGGGGCCAGGGGATCCTGCAGGACTGTGTCTGATCATGTATGTCTGAGCATGCTCCTGCATGTGAGCATATGCATAATGTCTAAGTGCTGTGCGTGGGTATATTAGCGCGGCTCTCGGTGTGGTCCCCTGGCAGAGCATCAGCACCCCTTTTGGGAGCCCCGCGATCTGTCCGGACAGCCCTCTGGTTTCGGTGTCTGCGTGCCCGTGCGCGCCAGGCTCCGGGTGTTGGACGCGCAGGCGGAGATTTGCATCTAGGCATCCTGGAGGCAGGAAGCTCGCTCCATCTTTCTGGACTTGGTTCTCTCCGTGCTCGGCCGCGTCTGCAGCAGGCACTCGGGGCCACTGAGCAGCTCTTAAGTGATGACAATGATTATGATGCCAGAGATGTTCCCAGCTGCGCCTGTTTCTTACCAGCCCCAGACACTCTTCCGTTATTACAGACAGAATTATCATCTCACCAGGCACGAAGCAGGAAGTGCACGACGGGAGAGGAAGAGAAATGGCCTCTTCGGAGTGGAAAAACACCTCTCTGGCACGCGAAACGGATCGCTGGACAAAGCAAACAGTCTTCTGCCCGTCCTGGTTAATGGTGCCAGTGTGCAGAGAGAGACACAGAGGAGGGTGGGTGCCAGGGCCGCGGCCCCCCCAGGCGGGGGCGGGGTGGCCAGGACTGTGGAGGGTCCTGAGTCACAGGACAGGCGGGGGGAGCCCCCGGAGCACGATCGCTCATGGGAAGAGGCCCGGGTGCAGAACTCCTGAAAGCATGGGCGAGGTCCATCTCCCCAAACAACACCCACCCAGTACCTGCCTTGCACCCAGACTTCAGCCCTGGTCCCGCCCTGACCAGCTGAGCCATCTGGGGAAGCGGCTCAGCCCTCCAGGCTCCGCTGCCTTGTCTCTGAATCGGGGACAACACCAGGCTCTGCGCCCGGGGCTGTGGTGCAGATGAAAAGGGGCGACTTCTGTGAGCTCGTCAGCGCTGTGCCGGGCAGAGGGGAATGCTTGAGTCGCCCCTGTGTTCTTAGTCCTTTCCGGAAGCCTTCCCCCCTCCCGTGCGCCTCCCTCCTCCCCCCTCCCCTGCGCCTTCCTCCTCCCTCCTCCCTCCTTCCCCCCAGAGTTGTGCTGAGTCCCTCAGCTCTATCATCTCAGCAGCTCATGAGGTAAACTGGCCGGCCAGGTCCCTGACACGGGCAGGGTCAAGGGCGCTTCCCCTGCTGGAGCCCGCGGCAGCCTGGGGACTCGCAGCCGTGCACATGTCACTCAGAAGCAGGGCGCCTTCCTCTGGCCTTTAGTTGCAGGACCTGTGTCTGATCATGGACATCTTGCACCCTTGCACCCTCTATGACTTTTGTCACAATGGTCTGCTACAGGGTGGGGCTCGCCATAAAGAGAGTCACAGGAGCCTGGCCGCGTGGCTCAGTGGTTGAGCATCAACCTATGAACCAGGAGGTGACGGTTCAATTCCCGGTCAGGGCACATGCAGGGATTATGGGCTTGATCCCCAGGAGTGGGGGGTGCAGGCAGCAGCCGATCAATGATTCTCTCTCATCATTGACGCTTCTACCTCTCTCTCCCTCTCCCTTCCTCTCTGAAATCAATAAAAATATATATATTTTAAAAAGAGTCCCAAGAAAATGGGGGTAAGTAACACGGAGCACTCAAGGTCGCTGTGGGAGGTGAGCTGCATGCCTAGCTCTGTGCTGGCACTGAAAGGCACGCACTAGATGGCCGTTAAAGATGACGTTTTATCCTGGGGCTGGTCTGAGTGGGTTTCATTAGCACAGAGAAGTTGAGAAGCCAATATTTATTGAGCAATTGGCACTGCCAGGTACAGTGGTGGGTATTGTCCACGTGTTATCTCAACTGGCCCTCACGCCCGCCCCTGGGACAGACAATGTCATCAATACCTCCTCACAGGCCAGGAAGCGGGGCGCCTGCTCAGGACCAGCGGCACGGGTTCCAGCGAGCCACCATCACGCCCCCTCCCGCCCCTCCAGAGAAGCTGTTCTTTGGCCTGGACGCTGCAGGCAGCATCGTCACCTCTCGCTGAGCAAGAAATGTTTGCCAGAGGAATAAATTGGCCAACGTCGCTCATGTTGCCCATGGGACCCGGAGGTCTTCCCTCTGCCTGGCTGACCTCTCCCGCTACGAGCCACATCCCTTCTCTCTTGTTTGGTCCTCAGCAAGGGCAGCTGGAAGCACAAAGTGTGCGCCCCTCGCACAGGGGTCCTTAGGAGAGAATGGGAGCTATAGCTGGGTGGGTCTCTGAGGCCTCCTCTAATGACAGGGGCGGGGGCTGGCGGGGGCAGAGAGCGGGATCCTGCCACCAGGTTTGGAAGCCCTGGGTCTTGCTGGTTTGGCTCCGGGGCTGCCTCTCCAGGCCCCGGTCAGCTTTCTCATCAGCACAGCGCGGCCGGCAGCGGGGCCTGAGGGAGTCTGTCACAGGCCCTGGCACCTGGGCACCAGCCAGTCCTCTCCCCCTCTGCTGGTGGGAGAACCAGAGAAGAAAAATGGAGCCTGAATGGAAACTTCAAAACCCTGTTCCTCCCCAGCAGGACTTTCTGAACCTGCCAGCCAGACCAGCCTTACCGCCAGCCCATCGCCTTGCAGCCCGGGGCCTCCCTCCAGGCCCAGCCTCCTGCTCCAGGCCAGCTCCCCCCGGAAGATGTCCCTGATCAGTCCCACCTCTTGCCTTGGATGCTTTTCACCTGTTTACCTTCATCAGGACATGAATAATCAGCACTCACAGGGCCACAGCTTAGTTAATATTTTAAAATGTTTTCCACGAGTTCAGGCAGCATGTGACAGACACCCTGAGAGGTGAGTGGGCAAGGGAAAGCGGCCAGACCCATTCTCGGGAGGCCTCGCTCTGGTCCGCCCGGGCCGAGAACGGGTTACGGGGCTGAGCCAATCAGTCCCCTCTCAGGGGCAGCGGGGCCTGTTAAAATGCTGATGCCCAGGCCCCCCCTCCGGAGCATCTGGCTCACGGGTGGCCCCATTGCCTCCTGTTAGCCATCTGTTGCTGCGAACAAAATGCTCCCGGTTGGTGTTTAAAGCACCACCTCGCGATGCTCTCCTGGTCTGAGGAGTAGGAGCCGGGCCGGCCGCTGAGAGGTCTGTGGTCGGCTCGCTCCAGGGGCTGCCTTCAGCCCCAGCTGGGACGGGACATCCAAGGCGTCAGGGTCGCCTCCACCCGGTCTCTCTCTGGCAGGCGCTCTGCCTTGCCGAGCAGCTGGCTGCCCAGAGGTGGCATTACAAAATCTAAGGCATGAATTGCAGATCTTTTTAAAAAAAACACAAAAAAACGTCCTCAACAAAGGATATTTTTCCATTGATTTCCAGAGAGAATGGAAGGGAGGGGGAGAGACAGAAAGAGAAACATCTATTGTGAGAGAGACACATCGACTGGTTGCCTTCCGAACGTGTCCCAACCAGGGCCTGGCATTGAGCCTGCAAATGAGGTACATGCCCTTGATGGGAATCAGACCTGGGACCCCTCGGTCCGCAGGCCCACACTCTATCCACTGAGCCACACCGGCTAGCGCTGCAGATCTCTTAAGGCCCAGTCTCCAAAGTTACTCAGTGATGGTTCTGCCTCTTTCTATGACTCAGAATAAGTCAGAGCCAGCCCGGACGAGGGACAGGAGGCAGACTCCACTCTCAGCGGGAGGGTGGCAGAGCTTCGCTGGGAGCCCATGGGAAGGAGACATGACTGAGGCCGTCTTTGTAAACACAGTTTACCATAATTTTACAGCCGACTGTAGACGAGTGTGCTGTGCCCACGATCTGTGACCATGTCTCAGGGAGCCGCTCCCCACCGCTCCCTCTCCCCTCTCCCTCCTCCCACACCAAACAGCCTCGAAGCGCTGTTCTGGGGGCTAATTCATTTGCGCTGGATTTCTCTGTCAATACCCGTCCTGTCTTTTGCATTCAGCAAACACCCATCATATACCAATTCTTTTGGCAAGTAGAGGAGAGGGAAGAAGAGGGATAAAATATAAACAAGCCCTAGCTGGTTTGGCTCAGTGTATTGGTCTGAGGACCAGAGTCCTGGGTTTGATTCTGGTCAAGGGCACATATCCTGGTTGGAGGCTCCTCCCAGCCCAGGTTCTGGTCAGGGTGCGTGTAGGAGGCAACCAATCAATGTGTTTCTCTCATATCGCTATTTCTCTCTGTCTTTCCCTCTCTCTCTTCCACTCTCCCTAAAAATCAATGGAAAAATATCCTTGAGTGAGGATTAACAAAAAACAAAAACATAAACAAGACACCCTTCCCATTTCTAAGTTACTCACCATCTGAGAGTAGGCAATTCGGTTGATTCCCAGGCTAACTGCTGCAGCCCTCCTCCCAGGGCTAAAGCAGGAAGTTGTGAGTTCAACGTAGGAGGACAGTTGTGGGTTCTAACAATGTGCAGGGAGTGGGTGCGTCCAGGGCTGTTCCAGCGAATGGCCAGAATAGCGAGCTTGATACCCATCGACTCCACCAGCCACACCTCAGCTTGGATACAAGTCCTGAAAAATGAAAACCAATAGAGATAATGCTTTAGATGCTGGACATTAAATATGCCCGCAGCATAGAGGCAACTGCATGAACAGCATCATCAGAGAACAATTACAGGAGGGAGGGAGAGAGGAGAAATCAAAGGACCCAAGAGTCCACTACAAACAGATGAGAGAGGCCCGGCTGCCATGGCGCAGTGGCTGAGCACCGACCTATGAACCAGGAGGTCACCTTGGACTCCAGGTCAGGCCACATGCCCGGGTTGCCGGATCTACCTCCAGTAGGGGGCGTGCAGGAGGCAGCCGATCAATGAGTCTGTCTCATCATTAATGTTTCTCTCTCTCTCTCTCTCTCCCTTCCTCTCTGAAATAAACAAAAACATATTTAAAACAAAACAGATGAGAGAGGCAGTGCCTGTATGGCCACAAGTGATCTGCAGACCTGCCCAGCATCCTTCTTGAATGCCCACTGTCATCAGAATTGAGCCCCCTTCCCAAGACAGGCCAGCAGCAGCCCCGGGACGCCAGGCCTCCTGGGAGAAGTGCAGGGACGTTCCTCTTGCCCCTGGCAGTTGGTCTGCAGCCTTCACGTGACTTCCATATAAAGAAGGTCAGCAGTCCACCAGCCCACGTCATTTTTATTGTTTTCTTAAACACCAGCTCAGGCTTTGGGTGGGGGTGGGAGCTGGGGTGCAAAAGAAAATAAGTGGATTCAAATCCATCTTAACTGCATGGCAAACATGGCCCAGTTAGTGGGTGATGATCAACTTGCAAAGCGAGTTTATAGTCTGAATGGAGGTGCCTGCTGGGCCGCAGGTTCTCCCGGCTCAAACACTCAGCTGCGCCTCTGCTCTGAGCCCATCCAGCGGGTTGGACAAAACTCTCTGATGATGAACAGGTGGCTCTCGCCATGAAGCTGGCTCCGGGCACTCGGGGAGGGCGGGGCGTGAGGCGCCTGCGGATGCTCACAGGCTGCGGCCTCTGTGCGCCAGGAAGGCAGAACAGGAGGCTATTCTGGTCTTGTCTGGGGAGCCATTAGCATTGCATTTCCAACGCCATTATCTCCGAAGGCAGCATCGCTTGGCTTTCTCCCGGGGCATCACTGGGAGCGGCAATGGTGGCATATTGTCAGGGTGGAAGGGCTGGGGGAGGAGGCGTCACGTGCTCCAGTCTGGAGAACCAGCAGCTCTGGCCGACGTGTGTTCACAATTAGAGGCCAGCACCTTGAGGTGACAGTTCACGCTTATAGGACAGGTTTCAGTTATTCAGGCAGCAACTGGTTTTCCAAACTAATGGAACTGGCGTGGATTTTTCACTTCAAAACAAACCTCACCCAGGCTTTGTCACGGCTTGTTTTTTTCCTGGGGGGAAGGCAGAGCGAGATTTTATTTCCGACTTTCCCACTATGGCGGCCTCTGATTTCTTCCCTTCCCTCCAATTAAGGCCTTGGCATCAAGGTAGCGAAGGGAAGGGGCCATGCAGGACCCACTCCAAGAGGAGAGCTGGTGGAGTGTGTGTCCTCGACATGCTGGCTGTGCCAGCCTGTGCCCGCGGGGCTGTGCCTGGCAGGGAGGTCTTCCAGGGGAGGGGCTTTGTCAGGATGAAACGCTGTGCTCCCAGCTGGGCCCTCACTCGTATCAGGTAGGGCCGTGCTAACTGCTCGGAACAGATAATGAGCTACTGCACATGTATGTAATAGGAGCTGAATTTTCTCATGAAGCCAGAACTCCACAATGAAGTCATTCAGATGTTGTTGATGGCCGCCTGTCCGACCTCCTTAGTAGGAGACTTCTTTCTTCCTGGTTGCAAGATGGCTGCTTCCCCTCCAGGCATCACATCCATGTTTCCGAGAAATAAGAGGAGAAGGAGGAGGAGGAGGGGGAGGAGCAGGAAGAAAAAAATCCAAGGGCAAAAGGTACATACTACTGTGTCTTTCTTAGAATTCTCACTCAGGACAGTTCTGTTCCCATCTCCTTGGCCAGAGTTGGGTCATATGGACACCCCTCATTGCAAAGAAGTCTGGGAAATCGGTAGTTTAAATTGAACGCATTGCAGTTCTGATAGGAAGGGAAAAGAAGAGAGTGGATCTAGGGAATCAACCATGTCTGCCACCCTCCCCAGCGCCTCCAGCTCCATGGAGACAGACATCCTTCCCTGAACCACAATGTCAGTGTCAGGGTCACCTGCCCTTCTTTGCTGGCCTAGGAGCTCTGGGAGACTCACCACCCAGTTTTCTTCTGCCTGTGCCTTCAATAGCTGCTTTATCCATTCATCTTGGTGAGAGAGAACAATGCACATGCACTCACAGGCCTTGTCTAGCCCGAGGTGCCAGTGCGCAGGGAGCCAGGTCTGCAGACCCTGTGGTTAAACGGAGGGATTGCTGGCTGGAGAGAGAGTGAGCAAGAGAGTATTCAACATGAATCTGAAAAGGTGGTGGGGCAAGATCATGTAGGGTCTTGTGAGCTATGATTCCCTTAAATTCAACCAGTATAAGTGGGTTGCCAAGCAAGACACTGGGGTCTATGGGTGAATAATATGCCCGGCCGATCCCAAGGAAGTCCCATTCTATTGGGGCAGCACACATGCAATTAGACAGCATGAAAGTCAGACTCTGACATGTCCAAGGACAGATGTGGAGACATAACACTGCTCACGGCAGCAGGGACAAGACAGCTTCCCTTTCAGTAGGTGGTACTTACATTTAGTTTTGCCCAGGAGGTAGGATTCTGGTAAGTAAAGAAGTGAAAGAGAATGTTTGACAGAGAGAAAATTATCTGGGTAACAGTTTGGGGGCAGAAAAGCAAGCAGTGTGCTGGAATAATTGTGACTGGCCCTCTTGAGCTGGGGGACAGTGTTGGCAAGGACTGGGGTGATACCATAATGGATGGACGGGGAAGGCAGTGCACGGAATGTCTCAGGAGATGAAGCAGAAAAGGGTATTGGGTTGTAAAGAAAGAATGTCATGTTATGTTGGATTTTATGTCCACACACCCAAAGCAATCTATAGATTCAACGCAATCCCTATCAAAACACCATGTGCCCTAGCTGGTGTGGCTCATTGGATAGAGCGTCAGCCTGCGGACTGAAGGGTCCCAGGTTTGATTCCAGTCAAGGGCACATGCCCAGGTTGCGGGCTCGATCCCCAATGGGGGGCGTGCAGGAGGCAGCCGATCTATGATTCTCTCTCATCATTGATGTTTCTATCTGTCTCTTCCTCTCACTTCCTCTCTGAAATCAATAAAAATATATTTAAAAAACAAAAAACACCAATGGCATTTTCTTCACGGAACTAGAACAAAGAATCCTAAAATCAATTTGGAACCACAGAAAACCCCTACGAGCCACCGCAATCTTGAGAAAGAAGAACAGAGTTGGAGATGTCACTGTGGAAAGTCACATGATCTAGGGGTCTCCCCCACCCCGCTGAGCCTCACTATTTCAGGAGCCCTCTGTGGCTTCCAACGCAGTGCACAGCTTTCCCGAATGTATGTAGACGTCCTGTGTTCAGGTTTTAAGACCGGACTACATATTGAACAATTAAATTACCTGGGATTTGCGCTGGAAGGGCCTCAGGATTATCTAGTCCACCTCCTTCATTGCACAAATGAGAAAGCGGAGGCCTAGGGCTGGGACTCTTCCTAGCAGTGCCCGCCTCCCTAGGTTTGTAATGGCTTCCCCAGGGCCCTGCCCAGGCTCAAGGGTCCAGCCTCTCTCACCAGCCAGCCCTCTTCCTGTGGACCCCCCATCTCAGCTCAGGCTGGGCAGCCTCATGGCAGGCAGCATGGCCTCCTGTTTGCCAACCAGTGGCCAGGCCTTGCTGAGTTTCTGCCAAGCTGGCCTCTTCCCTTTCTTCATGCCTGCTCGCCCCCCATGCCGTGACCCCGGCTTCTTGAGCACTGAGGGCTGGGCCAAGCCTCCAGGGGCCGGTGGTGACAGGGGAGCCAGTTCACAGGGGAGGAAGCGGAGGCGCGGAACTAGGGTTTAGATCTCCAGGTGCAGTTTTTGGTCTTGAATTGGGACCCTGCGGAGCGGGCTGACTTGGCGGGGTCTTGAAAGGGGGTTCTGGGGTGGGCGCCCCACCTGGCTCTCGCTGAATGGCAGCGACAACCAGACTCGCGGCGCCACGACGCAGCCCTTCCTGCGCGCTCCCCGCACGGCCGGGCTGCGAGGGGCGCCGGCTGCGGCGGCTCGCTGGGCTGTTCCCTCCGATTCCCATCCCCGGTTCACTGTTGACAGCGACACTGGCCGTCATTGTTG